GACAAGTGTGACTATGATGCATACTTTCTTCTATTTCCTGCTCCTCTGTTCTGAGATGCCCCTATTTTTGTTCCCATAAACACTTCTTTTTTCCACAGGAAACAGTAATATTAATATATGTTTAACTTTATAGTCTAGTTCAACTCACTGGAAAATTAATGTAGGTCTTGGCAAGTTTGTGAAAGTTGGTCAAACATTTGGCCCACTGTCTTTAAAAACATGTTTTATGCATAACTCAGTCCTGGATAAGTGAACATTTAAGTTTAGACAGAATTTTACCTGCATCAAACATGTCTCGCCATTGGTAATAAATGGATGAAGGCTTTAAAAAAAATTGGTATTTCATAAAAATAGTGACAAGAACTATAATTTAAAAACTATGGACAAAACTGCTACCAATAAAACAGCTTGCATAGATTTTTGTGACAATGTTAACTGTTCTTTAATTGTAAAAGGAAATTCCATTGTTCAAGAGTGCAAAAACTTACCACCCAACAATGACTTAAGCCCCGACCTTGCACATGAATAGCCAAATCCAGTTGTGCTCACTACAGGACTGGAGCCACACCTAACCAGTAGGTGCAGGCCACTATATATTAAAGGGGCAATTTTGAAGCATAAATAGCAAAACCTGAAATAAAACTGAACATCTGAGAAAAGGTTATGTTTGTGTTTTGAAATGTCTGTATGTTACCTGCTTTTCACAAAATACTAATATTTGTAGTGGGTGTATGATAATCCTTTCAAGTCAAAATTATTTGTACAAATTTTTTCAAAATACAAGTGCCATATAAACTCAGAGAAAATATTAGGATGCTTTCACTTTCATTTGTTGTATAGTTTCTCTTGTCTAGCCTATGTCACTCACAATCCACATGGGGTTTAGCTGCCTTAGTTAATACTTCCAATGTTAAAACTGGATCTTTCATCAACAGGGGTTAAATGTTTTGGCAGTAGAATTTAGAGATATCAGAGTGTAGACAACTACAAGATTAAGCAATAAGCCTGGACTTACCAGTTAATCCTGTCAACTACCTGCTTTCACCCCCACCCCTGCTGCCTCTGTATCACAGCAGCAGGAGGGGAGGGGGAGAGACCGGCTCCTCATGAGCACTGGATCCTCCTTTCCTTCCCACCCCCGATCTGCTACTTCTAATACAAAGGCAACAGCACAGAGAATGAGGGGAACAGGCAGGAACCAAAAGCCAGCTCTATGCACGTGCCGGCTTCATGGACCCACGTGCCTCTCCCCCCCACGCTGTCTCCTACAAAGGCAATGGGGGCAGAGGCAGGAGCTGGCATTGGAGGGAGAGGGTGGAGCCTGCTTAAAAGCTAGCTTCCCCCAGCCCTGGTTTTACAATGCTACCCGCCCTTCCCACCCCCATGCTGCTGCCTCTATGAGAGGCAGCAGTGCAGAGGGGCAGAGGAGGCTGCTCAGAGTAGTGACTGTTTACGAGGAGCTCGGATCCCCCCCAGACAGAGGCTGCTGCCACCGTATCAGAGGCAGCAGCACAGGATGGCTGGAGGGAATCAGTCTGTACTTGGATCTAGTTTTCAAACTGGCTCCCCTCACAGACCAGCTCCCACCTACAACTTGGCACTGCTGCCTCTGATAGAAAGGCAGCAGCATGGAGCTCCCTGAGAGTGGGGCCAGGAGCACACTAACTGCCCGCCCTGCCTCTAAGGGCTACTGAATACTCATGTAACATCAAAAAGGTTGATGCATTTTCACAACTGTTCAATTACATGCTAGCTAACATCCCTAGTAAAATAATGATAGAAATGTAGCCGTGTTAGTCTGGTGTAGCTGAAACAAAAAACAGGACTATGTGGCACTTTAAAGACTAACAAGATGGTTGATTAGGTGATGAGATTTCATGGGCCAAACCCATTTCCTCAGACCAAATAGTGGAAGAAAATTGGTACAACCATATATACCAAAGGATACAATCAAAAAAAGGAACACATATGAAAAGGACAAATCACATTTCAGAACAGAAGGAAGATGGGGGGGGAGAGGGAGGTAAAGGTCTGTGAGCTAATGATATTAGAGGTGATAATTGGGGAAGCTATCTTTGTAATGGGTAAGAATTTACACCTCAGTCTAAACAAAGATGTTAAGTGTGGAATTTAAGCATGAATGACAGTTCAGAGGATTCTCTTTCAAGTCCGGTGTGAAAAGGTCTTTGAAGTGGGATGCAAGTAATCAAGTCGTTGAGACAATGCCCTTTCTGGTTGAAATGGCAAGAAACTTTGTTCTCACCCACAATTATTTCCAGTTTGAGAACTTATACCTCCGGATCAGTGGCACAGCCATGGGTACACGCATGGCCTTGCATAGCCCTACAGTACGCTAACATCTTCAGGGCTGACTTAGAACAACGTTTCCTCAGCTCCCGTCCCCTTTTACCCCTTCTCTACTTACGCTACATCGATGACATCTTTATGATCTGGACGCATGGCTAAGAAACACTGGAGACATTCCACAGAGATTTTAACAACCTACACCCCACCATCAATCTCAGCCTGGACCATTCTACACGAGAGATCCATTTCCTGGACACCACAGTACAAATCACCTATGGCAAATTAGACACCACTCTCTACAGAAAACCCACTGACTCATACAGTTACCTACATGCCTCCAGCTCCCATCCAGGACACACCATATGATCCGTCATCTATAGCCAAGCCCTTCGATACAACCGCATCTGCTCTAATCCCACTGACAGAGACCAGAAGCTTCAGGATCTCTACCAAGCATTTATAAATCTCAACTACCCACCTGGAGAAATAAAAAAGCAAATTGAAAGAGCCAGACGAATACCTAGAAACCATCTACTTCAAGACAGACCCAAGAAAACTAACAATAGAACACCACTTGTCATCACCTACAGCCCCCAACTTAAACCTGTCCAACACATTATCAATAAACTACAACCTATACTGGAACAGGATACTAAACTCCAAGAGGCTCTGGGAGACAGACCCATAGTCTCCTATAGACAACCACCTAACCTCAAGATGATTCTTACCAACAACCACAGGACATACCACACTAATACCAACCCCGGAACCTTCCCTTGCAACAAACCCCGTTGCCAGCTTTGTCCACATATTCACTCTGCTGATACCATTATTGGACCTAACCAAGTGAGTTATAAGATCAAGAACACATATTCCTGCTCATCCAGAAATATAATTTATGCTATCATGTGCCGAAAGTGTCCGTCTGCTATGTACATTGGACAAACATCTCAGACACTTCGCCAAAGAATCAATGCCCACAAAACAGATGTTAGACAGGATCAGAAAGAAAAAACAGTTTCTTGCCATTTCAACCAGAAAAGGCATTGTCTCAATGACTTGATTACCTGCATCCTGCTTCAAAGACCTTTTCACACCAGACTTGAAAGTGAATCCTCTGAACTGTCATTCATGCTTAAATTCCACACTTTACACCTCGGTCTAAACAAAGACATTAATCATCTTACCTATTACAAAGATAGCTTCCCCAATTATCACCTCTAATATCATTAGCTCACAGACATTTATCTCCTCCCTCCCATCCCCCTTCTGTTCTGAAACTTGATTTGTCCTTTTCATATGTGTTCCTTTTTTTGATTGTATCCTTTGGTATATATGGTTGTGCCAATTTTCTTCCACTATTTGATCTAAGGAAGTGGGTCTGGCCCACAAAAGCTCATCACCTAATAAACCATCTTGTTAGTCTTTAAAGTGCTACATAGTCCTGTTTTTATCCCTAGTAAAGTTACAACAGAACCCAGGACCTAATTAGCTGGTCAGAAAAAAATGTCAGTGTCAGGGTTGGATTTTCCTCGGCATGCTATTTGTCTTTTATAAGCAACTCTGACAAGCCTTATTTCAAGTCAATTTTTGTATCTCCATATTCAAATGAAGAATGTGTCAATCTGCATTTTGAAATTATATTTAAAATATCACTCACTTAAGCATCTCATTCAAAGATAACTATTTTAACAATTACTGTACTACCAGTCCTGGTATTTCAAGTTGCCTTACCAATACTCATCCTGCCCTCTCCCCTGGGAGGTTAGCCACCATGCTGAGTCTCCCTCTCCCTGCAAAAGGTTAGTATTGCCCCAATATTTATGAGATTAAACAGGCAGTGCAAAGCGGTACAATTTATCCTCTCTCATTACAATCTTAAGATTCAGTGAATGTATCCAGAACCGTTATGTGTATTTCAAGAGTAGCAGATGGAGGTTTAAAATATAGTCATTTAAAAACACAATCACACTCATTATCAGGAAACAAGTTTCTTTACTCTCGTTACTAACCACCTCTCAGTGTATCAAATCAAACAAGAATATTACGTTACTTATTCTGTTTACTTTCTGCACTTTGGTCAGCTTATGCAACTGCGATGCCACACGAGTCTGCTTGACAGGTGTGTGCGGTCTGTGTGGCTCACAGGGGCTCAGCGCTGCTGGATCTGGGATTTCACACGAAGCTACAGAGCTTCACGCAATAAAAGGGAAGGGGGACGCTGCTCCCCATTCAGGGCTCCGGTGTAGGGGGCACCTGCTCAGGGCCTCGGTTATCCCTCGAGCACGTCAGCCTGCTCCCAGAGGCGACCAACAGCCTGAGCCAGCCCTCGGCACCGATGGCCCTGGGACGCGCCAGGACCCCCGGCAGGCAGCCAGCGCCAGGCTGCACCACAAGAGACTGAGTGGCGGGGGCCACGCCCAGGGCTGAGGGCACCCGGCGGGCTCGGCCGGGCACTCACCGCTCATGATGCCCGAGTCCGGTGCCTCCCCAGCGCCGCAGCCAGCCCCCTGCTCCCGCTGAGACCTCTCTACAGAGGGAAGCCGGCCAGGGACACCCACAGCGGACACCCCGCCCCGGAACTGAGGCCCCACCGACCCGGAGCGCGAGAAAATGCCTCCCGCGTGCGCGCCCCCGACCGCCCCACTGGGCCGCTGCCCGCAGTTTGACCTGGGCAGGGGCGCTCTCCGGTGCGCGCACTTGTGGCCCCTTCGCTTTGCTGTTGGTTGAGGCGTTTGGGTGCAGAGGGACCCCCAGGCTGTAGTCAAGGGGTTTGGAGTGTGGGCTAGGGATGCTAAGGACTGCAGGGCAGTGACTAGCCTGGTCCCCGCCCCCTTGCTGCCTATCAGGTAGACGCAGCAAGCGGGGAGAACAGGCGGGTACTTCCAAGGTGCGCGCACTTGTGGCCCCTTCGCTTTGCTGTTGGTTGAGGCGTTTGGGTGCAGAGGGACCCCCAGGCTGTAGTCAAGGGGTTTGGAGTGTGGGCTAGGGATGCTAAGGACTGCAGGGCAGTGACTAGCCTGGTCCCCGCCCCCTTGCTGCCTATCAGGTAGACGCAGCAAGCGGGGAGAACAGGCGGGTACTTCCAAGTGATCGCGCTACACAGAGCCAGGGTCACCTGCTCCTGGAGGCATTTCAAAGCGGCAGCGCTGCTTGGCCCATGGGGTCAGCTGGGGGCTCTTGCTACACTTCAAAGGTGGAGGTGCCCTATTGACTAATCGAATCGTCAATGCAAAAATGCATCGACTATTCAATTAGTCAATGACTTGATAATGAACACCGTTATCGTGGGGGGGGCGGAGCATAGGGCAAGAGGCTGAGCAGGAGTTTGGGTGTGGGATGGGGCTGGAAGGCATTAGGACTTAGTGTGTGGGAAGTACAGTATTGTATTTTCTGAACTAAAAATGGGGACACATTAATCTTGCCCCTGGCCCCTTAGGCCCTACCCACCTGACACAGGAAGCCCCACGCTTGGGGGTAGTATTTCCGGGGTCAAGATAGGTGACGTGTGAACCCCTCTAAAAACTCCTCCCACCATCCTCTACCAATAGGGATGGTTTTGGGCCCCATAGGACAGCTCCCCTCCCCCATGCAACTATACTGCAATTGCATTAACCCAGGCCCCAGACCTAGTGTCCCATCACTCTGCAGTGCTAAGGGTCCAACCTCGATTTAAGAAGAGATGCAGGATATGAGACCTATTACTGTTAGATGCAGCCCCATTTGACTCACGGCCTAGGAATCATCCAGAACTATCCCACAATTAAATGGGACAACTTCCTTTGTCTTCTTAATGGATGATGCTTCCTGGTTCCAATTAACTGGTAATCAGAGGGGTCTGGAGCCGCTCCCCACTTGCTACTCCAGCCCCACAGAGGGCCCTAAAGAGTTGCTCTAGTCAAGAACAGGCCCTGTCTGGGGATTCTGAGGGCCCGCAGGCAGGGACTGCCTGTGGTGTCCAGAGCAGCTTCTCTCCAAGTAGAGTCCAGCCTTCTGTGGACAGAGGCTATGCTGGAGGGGGCTGGGAGCTAACATTAATCAGTAAACTGATTAATGGGAATTCACATCCCTCATGAAATGTACTGCAACTGCATTTTTTGAAGTTACTGCAAAACTATCACGTGTTCTCTGTTTCCACAAGCCAGAATGACAATACTGAACTAACCATGACAATTACAGGGGAGAGAAGACCTTGTCACTAACCCTTACCACCACAGCTTGAAAGGTACGTTGCCCATGGAGGTCAATGGGCCTGGGATGTTTTACATGTAAAGCTACTAAGAAATATATATGTCAATACCATAACAGCAGTGCCTATATTATGTAAATAATACCTAATAATAATTGCCAATAAGATCACTTCCCAAACTGCTTACAAAGGGCCTGATCCAATTGAAACTTTAAGCAAGGATTGGGCCCAAAGCAATCTGTTGATATTACCCAAGAAAATCCAGTTAACAGATGGTGACCCTTAAAAAATATAAGATACCAATCAGTAAAAGCCCCACTGCCTGGTAGAGGCAATCTTTGAAGAAAATTGGAGAGACTTTGAATTGACTTCTTCTGACAGTAGCGCTTTCTCTCACGAGATGTGAAGTCTTTAGCCCAGGTTTCACTTTGCTTGACTTCTTCTGACAGCAGCGCTTTCTCTCACGAGATGTGAGGTCTTTAGCCCAGGTTTCACTTTGTGTGTCAGAATAACTCAGAAATCCGTTGTCACAGCTAACTTCATTCAGGTCCAGGCAACATGCAGCCCAAAGACAGAAGAACAAATTCCTTGAAACTGGAAGTAAAAACTTCTCACCTCTTCACAGAGCTCACAAAGGGCTTGTTTACACAGACACACAAATTATGACAACTCTCTCTGTAGAGCAGGGATGGGCAAAAAGGCCTCCACAGGCCGGATCCAGCCCACCAAGCAGGTTGATCCAGCCTGCAGAGGCTCTGCCACTCCCCAACCTCCAGGCCAATAAGGCCCTGGAGGCAGGGAAAAGCACAGGAAGTTTCTTCCTCCCTGCCAGGAGCATGTGGCACTTTGAAGTGCCGTGAACTCCTGGCAGGGCGGGACGAGGCTTCACGTCCCTACCTATGCTGTAGAGAGAGCACCCTGCCTCTGTGTGGACACACCAAGTATTTTCATGTGGCATCTTAACATGCTGTTTAAATCATCAACTGCTTGGATGAGTAAGACTAACCGAGTCTATCCATCATCCACACCACAGTGACATGGTGATTTCAGTGCTATGAAGACAGACCCAATCTTTCTGTGGAGCAGCAGAGAGCCCAGGGTAGTCTCTCAAGGGGAGAGGCCAGGGATGCCTCTATTTCAATAGTTCTCAAACTTTTTGACCCATGAACCACCTGGCTCAATGTAAACTTTTCCACAGATCACCAGTTGCTAATGGAATCTGACTGTTAAGTACATAATTACACCCGAACCATTTTGCTAGTGATGCAGCTAGCGAGAATGGTTTAATTTAAATTATTAAACACACTAAGCATTTGAACTTTCTCATATTGGTTTATCAAACTTCGTTTTAAATCATGGAATCATAGAATACTAGAACTGGAAGGGACCTCAAGATATCATCAAGTCCAGTCCCTTGCCCTCATGGCAGGACCAAGCATGGTCTATATCATCACTGATAGATTTCTAACCTGCTCTTAAATATCTCCAGTGATGCAGATTCCATAACCTTCATAGGCAGTGTTTAACCACCCTGACAGGAGGTTTTTCCTAATGTCCAGCCTAAACCTCTCTTGCTACAGTTTAAGCTCATTGCTTCTTGTCCTATCATCATAGGACAAGGAGAACAGTTTTCCTCCATCTCCCTGTGACACCCGTTTAGACACCTGAAAATCACTGTCAGGTCCCCTCTCAGGCTACAGCTACACTGCCGTTTTTTTACAGAAGAGGATATGCAAATGGCACTCATATTTACATATCTTCTTCCGATTCTTTTTGCGGAAGAGGTTTTTCTGATAAAAAACCCTGTGTAGACAGGGCCATTTGTCGGAAAAAAACATCCTTTCGCAAGATCCTGTAAACCTTGATTTTTGAGGTATAACGGAGGGAGGAAGGGCTGCCAGCTCCCAGCCCGCATGGGTTCACAGGCTGGGAGTCGACAGCCCTTTGCGGGCTAGGAGTTGCTCTAAGGTAACAGTTAACTTTTACCAGTAAGCATCACCCTTGGGTTACCTATTCACATCCTTAATTCGTATGGGACCATTGCTGGCTGTTTCCCTTCATCGGGGAGTGAGGGGAAAGTGCACATTTTGCTACATTCCTTGCAATGTGTGTTTGTCCCTTTTTCACAGGTTGCTGTGGGGTAAGGACGCACTTAATAGTTAAAGGTATAGAGCAGAGGTGGGCGGACGCACTTAATAGTTAAAGGTATAGAGCAGGGGTGAGCAAGACAGCCTTCACAAGCCACACCTGGCCCACCAAGCCAATTGATCTGGCCTATGGCCAGCCTGCTACTTCCCCACCCCTAGTCCAATTGAGTTCTGAGAATGGAGGGAGTGTGCAAAGTGTCCTCCATCCCACCAAGGGCAAGAGAGAACTGCCAGCTATTCAGTATAGCTGGCGTTTCTGTCTAGGCACCACACACAGCTGGCAGGGTGGGAATGGGGGGGAGGGTCAAATACTTCATCTGCTCCCCCACTCCCAGGCCATGATTGGCTTGGGAATGGGAAAACATGCAGTCTCCTTCCCTGCCAGGGATACCAACCAACCGTTCAAAACAGCTGATGGTTCCCTCCAGGCACTTGGCGCCCCAGCAGGCAGGAGTAGGAGAGACTTTCACACATTCCCCCACCATCAGGCCAATCAGGGTTTCTGGGCGGGGGAGCATGCAAAGTCTCCTGGCCCCACCCGCTCTAGGGCACTTCTAAAATTCACTAAGTGGCCCTCCTTCAGAAATTCCCTTGGAATAGGGGAATGTCTCTAGTCAGGCTTTAAATATATAAACAAGTATTTATAAGTTTCTTAACAGAGCAATAGAAGTGTGTCAGATAAAAACTAGTTAAAAAGAGACACTAGATCAAATTCTCAATTCATTTACATTATTGTGCATCTAGAGGAACTATTAGGGCTGTCAATCATAGTTACTTCCATGATTAACTCAAAAAACAAATCACAATAAAAAAAACGTGATTAATCACAGTTTTAATTTCAATGTTAAACAATAGAATTGCAATTGAAAACTTATTATGTATTTGAGAGATGCACATCTGTCTGTCCATCTGTTCAGGAACTCCTAAATGATAAGGGCTAGGACCACCAAATTTGATATGCAGCTTCCTCTTATTATAACTTAAAGTAGGGTAAGGGTTTGGTTGTGCCAGGACAATGGGATTTGCCTGGAATTTGATTTTTTCTCATAAAATGGAAAGGGAGGGGTTTTGCAGGAGGGACATTTCTACTTCTTCTCATAAAATGGAAAGGGAGGAGTTTTGCAGGAGGGACAGTTCTACTTCAGAATGACCACAAGGGGGCAGCAAGGGGGCAGAGATTAGGACCAGGACATGTGTAACCCCCCTGGGCCCTCAGGGGGCAGAGGTGAGAAAGGGACAGCTATCTACGATATATTTCAGAGAGTTTGTTTGTCAGTGTGTCTATTGGTCCCTCAGCCAGGGGACATGCACCCGTCTCCTGGCTGTGCTTGCTGACGCTGCAGCAGTTATAGAGAAGTGCTTCTCAGCCTCAAGCTACTGCAGTGAGAGAGGGCTGGGGTAGTCCTCTCTCTCTGGGGACAGCCTGCATACTGAACTCTCATTCCCAATCCCTCCCCAGAGCAATGATTTGGATGAAGTGTGTACATTTTCATTTCATTCCCCCCCACAACAAAATTTATTGAGGTAAGTACCCAGCCCCACAACAAAATTTATTGAGTTAAGTACCCAAGCAACGTCAAATAAATCTTCTATTTAAAAATATATTTAAGATGCTTATTGATGGTATTTATGCACATTAAACCATTTGACTGGTAAATACAGTTTTTAATGATAGTGAAGAAAAGTTTTCCCCACATAGAAATACTTATAGCTTGTAAGTTCCAGTAAATAGCTCCCACAAGAGACTAAAATTAGAAACAGTATAATACCAATGAAAGTTAAATGCAAGAGCTATAAAGAAACCACATGTACTATCCTTCTCTACTGAGAGCAAATAATGAGATTTATGAGTATACATATATTAGTGGAGCTGATTATTATGTAGCAAAACCATCTTCTATCTCCCTATGAGTGAGTCGTCATAGCCTCTGGAATATAGCTGCAATATTCAGAAGTCTTTGTAGTGACCAGAACAGTAGCTCCTTCCTCTGTGGCTGGTAATGGAAATGAAGTATCAAGGCCAGTTTGGAGTTTCACAAAGCCACAGTCCACACAAGTGCATTCCTCCACTGAATACATCAGTGATGTTTCACTTTCAAGGGAATCTCCAATTATATCTGTATTCACACTGTTCTCAGTATCTGCCTTGAGTATAACATTCAACTCCACTACAGACTCTGTGAAGATATGAAAATATATTTTAGTTCATATGTCATGCTATCTCAGTCAGTGAAGCCAAGTCATAAAATCTACTAAACATGTCTCCTGCTCCCAAATTTAGGGTGGGCATATGTGGAGCTTATATATTTACTATATTACATTATTTTTTCTATGTTAAGTATATAATTAACAAACATCTTTGCTGTAAATATGGATATGAAAAAGGTAAAAAATTGTTAGCGTCCACAGAGAAAATCTACTATAAATTTGAGTGTGCCTCTCTCTCTGTCTTTTCAAGAACTTCTAAATGGTAAGAGCTAGGACCACCAAATTAGGTATACAGCTTTCTCTTATTATAACTTAAAACTTAATTCAATAAATTTTGTTGTGGGGGGTTTGGTTGTGCCAGGAAAATGGGATGTTCTTGGAATGGGATTGCTTCTCATAAATCCATGCAGAAAAGAGACAGAATCACTGGGCAGGTGAAAGGGGCTATATGGAGGCATCCCCCACCTCCAGAACTGCCTCAGCCCCAAGCCTCCCACCCATCAGGTGTACTTTACGGAGGGCAGTGAGGGGGGCTGAAGCTCACCCCAGATTCTTACAGTGCTGGCTGTTCTCCTTCGTCAGGGAGCAAGGAGAAAGTGCACAGTTTACTGCATTCCTCAATCTGGCTGGGTAGCACAGCGGGCAGACAAGCTTGGACCTATCCCAGTCACGGAATATGCACCTCTCCCCCACCTGTGACCACTGGAGCTGCAATAGCCATGGATAGGCACTTCTTACCTGGCCCCAACGGCTATGGTGAGAGAGGGCAGGGATAGTTCACTCTCACCAGGGCACCCTGCATACTCAACTTTACTTCCCCACCCCCATCCCAGAGCATGTACATTTTCATTTTATTTTCCAAAAAACAAAAATTGAGTTAAGGACCTGAGCAATGCCAGGTAAATCTTCTAGTATACTTTAGATATGGCTATGAGGATGAGTTGAATCAAAACAAATACTGTACACGCTATGAGGCTAATCTTCCATTTTTATTCTCTAGCCAGAAAAAATTCCTTTTGGCTTCAATGGCAGAAGGACTAGGCCTTTGACACAGAAATTCTGTTAAGAGTTCATAGACAATTTCCCAAAGCAAAATAGGATAAGCAAGTTAATCCATATATTAAAAAATTAAAATTATTAAAATTATTAAAATTAAAAAACAAGTGTTATGTAACCAAGACCAGAGGGCCCCACTTATTACCTGCTACAATGATATCCTTACCCATGTTGTGAAGTACATTTTCCGACAGCCCCATTGACTTCAGTGGGTCTATTTGTGGAATAACGTACTCTCCACCAAGAGTAAAACTATTGGAATCGGATGATGTAAGCTATATTCAAAATTATAGCAGAAATTCATAACAATCTTAAAATATTTTACAAAGAGTTGTATTTATTTATATTCATATTTTTCTACCTGCATTTTTCAGTTCTTCCTTTGATAGTTTTGGGCGCTTCCTTTTAAACAATACCATTAATATGAACACTGTGAATGTTAAAATCACTCCTATTCCCAAACCAATCCAAATAATTCTGTCTGACACCTGCACTGGACCTGTAGCACATTATAAAATAAAGGAAAATATTATGTGCATTAAAAACAACAATCAATTATTGATAAATACATGACCTAATCTATAAACCTGTCACATCTTTAAGAACAAATTTCTTTTTCTGGTGAATGACAACTCAGTAGCTTGAAAATTTTTCTTTCCTAACATAGTTCACTTGATATATATAATATTATGTTTAGGTCTTCAGTCTTGTACAGATTTTTTATTTGGTCTTGTAAACTTTAGTGTCATTTTTCATGTTTTATCTTTAGAATCAATGCAAAGTACAAATGTAAAAATGCAAGCACAAACAAATAATGTTACAGAATTGGTACTTACTCTCATTACAATAGCTCTGACATGAAAAAGGTGGCTTACTGGAACATCGAAGGTGACATGGTATACAAGATTGCAGCAAGCTGTCAAAATACTCATTTTTGAAGCAATGTTGAGCCATCAGGTCAGTAATTCGTGAACTAGGAAGAGACAGAAATTGTTAAAGAATAAGGGCAAGCTAAGGAAGAAGAATGTTTCCACTTCTCGCTTTGTAAAAACAGGTTTAAGTGTGACTAGTAACAGCCGCTAAACATCAAGGATCGTCTTGAAAAGAGTATATTAAATAATAGGGATTTCACCCTGAGTCCTCTCAAGGGACTACGACTGCTCATTTGACTAGCAATTGCAGATTCAAGTTTCTGGAAGGACCATCCACCTGGATGGAAGTAATTTTCAATGTAAATTCTGCCTGAAACAGAAACTGATTATTTATAGAGGACATTTCTCAAGCAGGTGTGAAACAGAACAAAGCAGTGATATAAAATCCTGGTTAATCAGTTAACCGAGAAAACGTCAGGCCAACGCAACATTTAACCGGTTAACTTCATTTAACCATTAAAACGTTAAGGTGGCCTAACAATTAACTGGTTAACCAACTAAGCAGGGTCTCACTGCTCCAGCCCATGGGGCTCCCACTCCTAGCCCCCACACTGGACTGACTAACAAGGCTGGCACAGCCACACGCTGCTCCCACAGAACAAATTAACTGTTATCCAGTAAGCATCACCTGGTAAGGGTAATGCTTACTGGGTAACTGCTTAACGCATTCATATCTCTAATACAGAGGGTAGAAAAAGTCTGAGGATTCCCAAACAAGTATTCTCATTAAGAGTTAGTGCCTGTGTTCATGAGTTTGTTGTATTCTTTTTCCTAAGCTGATGGATCTCTTTGTAGCCCACAAAACATCTCCATGAAGCGTTGGTTTAATTTATATTTTTTTCTGTTCCATTGCTATCACTAAACAACATACTGTATTGCTGATGAATAAACGAGAAAAAGAAGACAAAAGGGGCTGTGTTGTCTAATGGATACAGGAGGTGACAAAGTCAGTACAACTGCAGAATGCATGTTTGTTGAGACAAGAACTATCACCTCCTCCTTTTGGATCCTCCACTTCCCATTGGTTGGGCTGGGGGAGTAGGCAAACTGATTGTTTCTCAAGTTTCCTTCCCTGACACATTTTTAAATTCCTCCTCAGCTTTTCAAGCTGTCCCACTCTTCTTCCCCATACTTGCAGTACAGAAGCTGTGTTTTCAGATGCTGCAGATCTGACCTATTGCTATTTTGGGATTGGAATGGAATTTTTCCCATTTGGCCAAACTAGCCAAGATCTGCTGGTTTGGAGGTGGAGGGGGTTCACTTTCTTTGCAATATCGTGGAGGCAAAGTAGGGTTGGAAGAAATAAGACTTGAAAGTGTAGTAGTAGGAAACTCATGACTGTTTAGCTCATTGTAACTTGTAGTTTGTGGCCAGCATGGATAAATACTAGAAGGACCAACTTCCAGAGGTAAATGAAGCCTGGGACTTCACTGGTTAACTTTCTATTTATTGAAGGAATGGAAAATTCATAGTCATGAAGTCTGTGATATTTTCTATGAGCAATCTGTGACTCTTTACCTAGCACCTTGGCATTGCTATACATTGGGGCAAAATAATTCATTTTCTTTCTAAGACATGGAAGATCCAGCTAGGTATTTGAGACACAGCATTCCTAGGCTGAAATCAATACATTGGTATGGATGACCCTACATAGGCAAATGGAATCTCAGTGACTGAAAATGAACATCTAACTGCAGAGGAAGCTGAATACATGAATTGAGTAAGGTTGTGTCCATATAACTAAGCTAAGAGGTGTCAGATGACTTTACTATGAGCTGAGCTCTCAGAGACACGGCTCTGACCTAGGAGTAAGACAATGGAAGAGACAGAAAAATGAAGCAAAGATGGTTTCTATAGATGTTACCTACAGGTTGTACCTCCATTAACCGGGACTCTGTGGTCCAGCAACATCCGTGGGGTGGCAGAACCACAGATGTTCCTGGACCGCAGAGTTGAGGTATAAGGAGATCGGGCTGCAGGGCAGGAGTGAGGGAGGAGGGATGTGACTCAGCCCCGTGTTGAGAGAGAGAGTTCTGGCCCCTGCTGCCGGACGATAGTGGGGGGCCAGCAGCCACAGAGTCTTGGTCCCAGAAGCCACAGCAGATGCGGAGCCCTGGCAGCCCCAGAAGCCACAGAGCACCAGCAGCCCCAGAAGCTGCTGCAGCCATGGAGTTCCAGCCTGCAGTCCCATGGTTGGGCAGGAGCAGCAGGCCTCATGGGCCATGTTGAGAGGGACTTCCCCCTGTTTGGCAAATCCCCTTGTTCGGGACCAGTTAGGTCCCAAAGGTGCTGGACGAGGGAGGTACAACCTGTACCAGCTGTGTTCTTAGGGAACCAAAGCATAGTATTCAGTCTGTGTGATTCATGAAAGATCTTCCCCCACAGCGTCTGCTTGAACCGAAGCCAATCAGAGGAAAGACTTACAAAAAGCAACGAAAAGGGGGGAAATTGTCAGCCGACGGTCAGGGCAGTGTGTATGTGCTATACACCCGAGACTTCAACTGCAGGGACCGGGGTCCCTTGCAGCAGGCAACCTGGAGGAGGTTGACGGGCGCCCAATGAGTTTACAGAGAGAGCTTATAACACCTTAGATTTCAGCTGCTAGAATTCGTAATTCCTTTGCAGCGGGCAGCGAAAGGTGCCCCAGTGGATCTGCCACCTGGGAGTGACACAAATCCAAACGGCCAAGCTCTTCCTATATTGTGTGTGTGTGTGTGTGTGTGTGTGTGTGTGTGTGTGTGCGTGTGCTATACGCCCGAGACTTCAACTGCTGGGACTGGGGTCCCTTGCAGCGGGCAACCTGGAGGAGGTTGACGGGCGCCCAATGAGTATACAGGGAGAGCTTATAACACCTTAGATTTCAGCTGCTAGAATTCGTAATTCCTTCGCAGCGGGCAGCGAAAGGTGCCCCAGGATCTGGGAGTGACACAAATCCAAACGCCCAAGCTCTCCCTATATCTGTCCCTTAAGACCGGCTGAAGTTCTTTTAAATTGTGCCTGGTTCTGTTACAGCAACTGAAGGAGTCAGGTTAAAGCTTAAACAGTTACAGGTTTATTGAGGAAGCTTATAAATCATATGGTTGCAATGGCTATTCTATTTCTTAACTGCTGGCAAATATAATATAGATATAGATATATTAAAAAAATGGTTACAAAGAAAAATAAAGATAGGAAATAGAAAATAATGGTACCAAATGACAGCTTAATCTTTAAAGAGCTCT